ATTAACTCTAGATCCATTCCCAGGGAGAAGCAAGGAGGGCGGGCGGGGAAAAGGGTGGGCGCTCTCATAAGTAAAAATGAGGAATCAGGAACACCAGGACAACTAGATGTTGGCATCCCAGAAAAAAAACAGAAACAAAAACTAAAACCACACATCTGTCTTCAAGGGTCCTCCGGCGTGGCGATGGCTGGTCACCTGCCTTGTGCTGCAAGGAATCCCGGGAAGCCTGGACCCCTCAGTTACAGGCTCCTACTCAAGCTTTCCTGGTGCTTTTTAAAAAATGTGAAATGATGACCAAGAATCACTAGATATTTAGATAAGTCTACATATTGAAAGAAAAATGGGTGCCTGTAGAGAAAACACCATTCCAAGAGCAGAAGGGAAACGTTTCAAACAATCGTAATGTCAGGGAGAGTCGGCGTCAGCAGTCGAGTGGAGAGATTGGGCCATCGAGCGCTGGAATGTGGCTCAGCAGTGAGGGAGTGGACTGCTCATGTACATGTACAAGTCACATCTGATAAGGGGTTTGCATCCAAATACGGAAACTCTCAAATTTCAATAATAAAAAAATTTTAGTCCATGTTTAATGGGCAAAATATTTCAACAGACACATCACCAAAGAATACGTATGAACGTCAAATAAGCATGTGTAAAGACGATCACTATCTTTAGTCAGTAGACAACTGACAAACCACGAGCCACCGCTACTCATCTCTTAGAATGCCTAAAATTAAAAAAGGATGAAAGAAATGACCAGCCCTTTGGATTGTGTTTTTCGTTCATGATTAATTTCTTGCATAGGGGTCCCCATGAAACACACACACACACACATACACACACACACACACCCCTCCCTCGACACACACATACATGTGACAGACACACACACACACACACACACACACCCCTCCCTCGACATACACATACATGTGACGGGAAATTACTGGACTCTTCTGGAAAAGCAACGCTCCAGAACAACAACAGAAAAGACCTCCACCAATGGCGTTTACTTGTTTTCCAATTTAAAAAAAAAGACCGAGGCACAGCCAGGGTGTGAAGACTCTGGAGCTCTCATGCACTGCCAGGACGTGGGAAATGGTACAGCCACTTTGGAAAACACTCGACAGTTTCTTAAAAAGTTACACATACACTTTCTATATGATTCAAATCTTTCACTCCTAGAATTACCCAAGGGAAATGAAAGCATGTGCCTATACACAGACTTTTACATGAATGTTTATGGCAGACTTATTTGCAATAGCCAAAAACTATAAACAATCCCATTGTCCATCAAGAAGTGAAGAACTGAGCATATGTTGAGATAGCCGTACAATGGAATACTACTCTGCACTAAAAGAGAAATAAACTATAAACACCAGCAACAATGACATGACTATCTCAAAATCATTATGCTGACTGAAGGAAGCCAGCTTAAAATGCGTGTGCTGTATTGTGTACAGACAAGTGTTTGCCTAGAGCTGGGGGCAAGCGGTGGTTACAAAAAGACATAAGGAAACATTTGGAAACAAGTATTTATTATCTTGATCGTGTGAAGCTTTCATGGCTGTATGCATCAAATTATACACTTTAAATATATGTATTCCATTGTATGTCCATTATACCTCAATATTGCTAATTTTAAAAACATGTTATCACTCCAATATAATAACAGGATGCTATCAAGACAAAATTAAGAACAATGAATCCAGGAAGTTTGAAAACAAAAATCTGGTAGAAGAGGTAGAAGGTAAAATCCATCCTAGAAAATGTAACAAAGGACCACGAACCGAGAAACACGGGATCACCTAGGAGATCCAACATTTGTCACATGGGAGCTACAGGAAAGCATCTCTCCAGGCCCTTTGTCGGCTGCATGATTTCAGACACTTCTCTCCACAGAAGCGGATCGGAGACAGGATGAAAGTGTGGGCTGGATCCACAGAAGTCTATGAGTGTGGTTGTCTGTGAAGACGAGAGACGACTGAGATGGAAGAGAATCTAGGTGACTTCTATGATGGGTATTTTTTTTTTTTCTGTCTTGTTTGTTTTAAAGATCTGAAGCAAACGAATCTATTTTTCAGATATCAGTATTTATTCTGGGCAGTTATGTTCTACTTTGTAGTTTTAGGTATCTTTACACTTCTAGTTAAAAAATGAAAAGGATCCAGAGCTGGGCCGTGGAGTCTAGACTGCGAGGGAAGAGAAGCCGGCACGTGCTGAACGAGGAGGGAGAAAACGGCCGAGCGGGGCCGGGCTCTGCCGGCGGCGCTGCCCGGGCCACGCAGCACCATGGAGAGATCCGCGCAGGCGCGAAGGCCGTGCTGCGCCCTCCCGCCGGCCGAGCCTCTTCCGAGTTTCTTTGTTGTCCACATTGTCGTTTCTGGGAATCGAGGCAGCACGAGGAGCTCATGAACCCCACTGAGATCTGGTGACGTGTCCTCCACCCTGAACAGGGAGTTTAGCGGAGAAGAGGTACCGTATCTCGTCCTTCGTCACCTTGTCCCGAGGGAGAAAAGCAGGATTATGTCAGTCAGTCAGTACATCTCCGGACTGTCCACTGTGGCTAGGCACTGCAACGGACAAGGCGGAGGGCCAAATACAGCCTCATCCTCGGTAGAGCTGTGGTCTAGTGTGGAGACAGATGGACCTCAAAGAATGGGCCAGAGGGCCCCCTAGTCTGCTCAGGGGGGATATCGCGTTTTAATGATTGGGGGGGAATAACAACCCGGGTAGAAGCCATTCATACCCATAGAGGCCAGAAGAGTAAAAGAGCCAGGAGGCTTCCAGGGACTGCATTTGTGTCCAGGGT